TGTGTGTGTGTGTGTGTGTGTGTATACACAGTCAAACAGACAAACAAAAACCTCAGGCCCAGAAAAATATGGATTCAAAGAAAGGGTTAAGACCAGCGGGCAGCAAGAACACAGACTGGCGACTCACAAGCCCGGGCAGTTGTGAACATGGCGCTGCCAGTGGCTGGGGACCTACTGCCCAAGACCAGGGAGCTGACTTGCCGGGCAGTCAGTGGCCCCCACTAAGGACATGAATGTTGGGATTTCCAAAGTCCTCCGTAAGAAGTGCATGTTACTTCCTTAGTCATCCCCTTTAGGTCGTGTGTTGAGCTAGATTGTTGATATAAAAGAAGGTGCTCATGTGTTAGGCCATCTCTTAATAATTCTGGCAAAACCCCGAGTGGGGTGGAGGAGAGCGTGGGGGGTGTGTGAAGTGGTGTTCCTTGGGGCCAGAGAGCAGGCCAAGGGTAGTAGGCAGCTTAGGAGAGAAAAACAATGGGCTTTGACTTCAGAGATCCCTGAGAGAATCACACTCTACCATTTGCTAGCCGCGTGGCCTTTAGTCTCTGAGCTCTGAGACGCAGTTTCCCCACCTGTACAAAAGAGGGTCTGACTTCCTTCTTTTGTGATATCACACAATTGTAAGGGCCACCTGAGACGGTGTTCAGTTACTGGCACCTGCTGAGCTCATTACCGAGTACCTCCTATGTACGAGGCCCAGACTTAGGGCTTTGCCTGGGTGATCTCATTGGAGCCACTCAGCAAGCTTACGAAGCGAGACTACACACAACCCACAAACCAGGCGGCTGAGCTTTCTCCAGTAAGAGCAAGCAATGGCAGAGCCGGGTTGCAAACACGGCAGTCTGATTTCAGGCTGCGCCCCCAGCCGCAACACCGCCCTGCTTCCCACATGGTCTGCGGACAACATTCAAATTCTTTCTTATCCCTCTCTCTTAGGGCTTGCACAAATGCCTCTTCAGGAAAAGACCTGAGACCGACCTTTCGAATGGGCGCCTCCCGTAGACTATTTGGTCCCAAGGTCCTGGGCATCAGAGCTGTGATTCTTCTTCTTCTAGGAAAAGCAGAAGACGTGTTGGAAGGATTAGGACTGTGTTTATCAGTTCCTGAATTATGATATGAGAACACATGAAGAGTCAGTAATTTGCTACTGAGCAGAAAACGCTCTTCAAGACAAGTCCTTGAGGCCTGAATTGCCAAAGACCCCCTAGCAGATGCACGGGCCATCCTCGGAGCCCAGCTCAGAGTCCCCTCTCCCCTAATGCCACCCGGTCTTCCTTCCTCAGGCCCCAGAGCATTGATTAATTCTGCAGTAGGTGCTTGCTGAGTTGTAGTAGAGTCATAGTTTGAGAATGCCTTGCCCTACCCCAGCCGAGGGCTGTTTCTGATGGGAGAC